GTAATAGCCTTCCTGATACAGAATAGTAATAATATTGTCTGATAACCCATAATAAACCTGGTTTACTTCCCGATAAATTCACAAGTATCCTGATTCCATTAGCTGTGGCAAAGTGACCAAATAACAATTTAGTTTCCACAAGCCACTAAAAATATAGTTACATATCAAAATGGATCATAGCTTCAAAACATATGTATGTACTTTAAAAAAATGAAACCTTTGAGCAGTACAACTCCCAAGATTTTACAACTGAGGAAGGCCCTGGGCGGTGAAATAAGTGGCGTTTTCAAGGTGAAAAGGCTGTGTATGGGAGGCAAGAGACCTAGTTCCTTGTCCCAATTTTGCTATTAACTAGCTGTGACAATGAGCAAGTCATTACTTTATCTCTCTGAAACCTAGATTTCTTATCTGTACAATAAAGGTGTTTGACTAGATGATGTCTCAGGTCTCTTCTGGGTCTCAATGTCTAATTTTAAGTTTATATTACACTCCCAGAATGTGATTTTTGTAAGGAGAAAAATGACTAGATTGTATCTTCCTGATGAGCCTGAATTATTCAAATAATTTTAAATAGCTACCATTTGAGTCAAAGAAATATAACATGGATTTATATGTTAATAAAGAACATTAAATCTTCTAAAAATGAAAAGAGTAGTCATGGTTTGCTTTAAATATTTTCTAATATGTATAAAAGAAAATACACAATTAAGTTTACAGAGTTCTTTTATTATATCTTTTTCACAAAGAAGCTACCTTCATTTCCTAACTAGACAGGTTCATCATTTATAGTCATCATTTAACAGTACAACACTAAGGTCTTAATATATTAAAAAGTAGAGTTGGGAAAACTGCAGAAAACCTCAATAGCTGATAATCATTCTTGTTTGGAAGGTTCACAAGTAGTTCAGACAACTAAAACAAAGTTGCAGGAGGCTTTTTTGCAACTGAATTTTATTATCAAAATTCTAATGAATAGTAGCATCAATAGATAACCCAAAAGATTGGGGGCAGGGATATCAAATGTTGATTAACTGAAACAGGTGAGAAGAATTAAATCCCACTGAGAGAAGTTAGCAGGGTATGTGGCTGTTGTCATGAACAAAGAATGAGGAAGGAGCAAGACATTCAAAAGATCAGTCATACCTAGCGCACACACACAGCAAGGACTCAATCTGCAGCACAAATCATCAGAGACCCGGTTCCCTCTGGACCTCTCAGCAGCTCATCCATGTGAATGAACAAGGTCCCACAAGACACATTCAAAGCACCATACATCGGATACGTTGACTTCTTTGGATAAATGGCAAACCAGCGGAACACAAATACACATATGGCAAGGAAAGCAATTATGGGACCCAGACCACCAGAGCCAAACTGGTTCATTCCCCAATACTCATTTATTCTGCAATAGCAAAGTCATAAGGACTGGTTTAAGGGAAATAACAGCATGGTAATGCCGCTGGTTAAATTTAGGGAATAATAGTAGTCCCAGCCAGAGAAGAAATGCTAGTTCACTTTCCAGTGCAAGTGTAGCACCACCTCCATTCTTTCCCTACTTTCACTTTGTTATTCTAAAAGAGGGAACAGAGAAGGGAAAAATATCTGAGGCTGAATTTGAACTCGGATCTTCCTCAGTCCAGGCCCAGTGCTCTACTTGGGACACCCTGAATAGGAAAGCAGCTGTGTTAATATCTACTTTTCTAACTAAGAGAAATTCAGATGATCAAAAATGTTTTAGTTCTTAGTACTTACAGTCCCTATGTATCCTGCCATTAGTTACACAGTTGTTCACAATACTTAAAATTGTTTTTAGTTATTTCTTTTACATATGTCTTGTTTTCCTAACTAGATTACAAGACCCGTAAGTACAGCAACCATATGTGATACACCTTACAAGTTCTGATAATAAATGTTATTCTTTTAGCACTATCTTTCTCTTGGAAATTGGTCTATTTCTTGTCAACTGACCCAATCTAGCTAGGTGGTACAGTGGATAGAGTGCCAGGCACAGAGTCAGGAAGACTCATCTTTATGAGTTCAAATCTGACCTCAGACACTAGCTGTGTGACTTGAGCAAGTCAAGCAAGTCACTTAATCCTGTTTGCCTCAGTTTCCTCAACTGTAAAATGACATGGAGAAGGAAATGACAAACTGCGCCAGTACCTTTGCCAAGAAAACCCCAAACGGGGTCACAAGGAGTGGGACAGGACTGACCAACAAAAGTCCCCATCTTTTCCCAAGTGGAGGATGAGGGTAGGTAGGGAACTGTGGAGTAGTGAATTACCAACTCAATACTATTCTCTGGCCTCAAGACTTTTACTAGCTGTGTGGCCCTGGACAAGTCTCTTCCTTGTCTATAAAATGAGCTGGAGCAGGAAATAGCAAACCACTCCAGCATCTTTGCCAATAAAACCCTAAAAAGGGTCACAAAGAGTTGAACACAACTGAAAATAACTAAACACCAACAATAACAGTCTTCTCATTTGGGATTAATTTCTACTATTACCTTTTATCTTCAATATGCTTCCAAAACCATTCATAACCTGGGTACAGTTCTTCAAGCTCTACAAATTAAAGTTTTTTTAAATATGCAAAATAGGGAGAATAAGGGATTATTTTTCCTGGAAATTATAAGTAATTATTCTTGTTCATTTCTAATAAAACCTTTTTATTCTGCCATTTTCCTGTTTTCTTATTGAAAAATTATCCCTTTTATTATGTCTTCATCTTGTCAACATGCCTTAAAAATAAGAATGAAAATACAGAATGAAAAACTTGAAATGTTACAGTTTGAAGGACCTTTAGAAATCAAGTTCAAATCCTTCATTTTACAAATGAGGAAACTGAGGTCCTGAGGAAACTGAGGTCCAGAATAGTTAAGTGAATACCCAAAGTCACAGTTATTATTTAATGGCCAAAACCCCCCCCCAAAAAAAAAACAAACCAACCATGAGACTAGAATACAAGTCTCCAGATTCCCTTTTCAATGCTCTTCTTTCTTCCAATACTGTGGTAATTTTGCATAAAATAAAACTATTATAATTCAGGTAAGAAAACATTTAAAAATGTTATCTTTCCAGTTATGTGACTCAAGAGTATTTTTTCTTCCACAATTGTATCTTTTTCTATTACACTGAATCCTGTGTGATTTCTCCCTCCATTATCGTTGTGCTGGAGTATCTTTAGAGAAGATAAACTTGTATCCGTTTAGCATTTCAAACGCAAAATGTAGTTTCTGCTACTAAAACATTGTTGTGTGTTCTTCTCAAGTGGGACACTCTACACCAGATCCACAAACTTCTGCTTTAATATAATTTATTTTAGTTCAATTAGTTCAATTACCGGAAGCATCTCATCACTACCATTTCTTCAAAACCTTTCCACTTTCTAGTATTTCAACATTTTCCTCTTGGTTAGCCAGCCAAAAACCAACTGTTAACTACCACACTAGGAGTTACACAATGCTTTGTGTGGTTGTTCCCTTGGTGACTTCCTCACTTTCATTTCTCCTTTGTTAAAGTTCCTAATGTTTTAGAAACACCTCAGTTCTCTAGTTATTCAACATGCCACTATGACATATACAAACAGCAATTTCTTTAGATATCTGATACTAGGTTAGTTAAAGTGTAGCAGAATGTAGTACACTCCTACACTACAGTATACTATGGCCACACTGTAAAAAGTTGGGACAGCAAGACCCTCAGAATGGTTCAAAGTACATTACAAAACTTTCCATGAAAAAGTTAATGGGGGGGTAGGGAGAAGATGTAGTGTTTTTGCATTCTGGCTTGAAGTTGATAAATATTCCTTTAGAACTCATATATTGTCTCTCATTCAGAAAAGCAAAAACTGGAATGGGAGGCAGGCTGGGGGGGCGCTCCCTGAGAGAAAAATTAAAGGCAGAGAAAGACTCAGAGGCCCGGACTCACACATATATATATAACCAGATTCAACATTTCCTAGGTGAAAATCAAACTTCACTCCCTGGAGATGCTTCAAGGAGAGAGAGAGAGGTAAGGGGAAGGGAGGGGGAGGGACAGAAGGAGAGGAGGGAGGAAGGTGGGGTGGGAAGGGAGGGAGGTTAAAAAAAAGGTAGAGTGGGAGAGAGGTAGACAAGGTGAGGGGGAGTTGGAAAGAAGAAGCAAAGAAGAGAAGGAGGAAGAAAGAGGGATAGAAAGGGGAAGAGGAAGGGTGGGAAAGGAAGAGAGGGGCAGGGTGGGAAAGGAAGAGAGGGGCAGGGTGGGAAAGGAAGAGAGGGGAAGGGGAGGAAGGAAGAGAGGGGAAGGGGGAGGGAGAAGAGAGGAGAAAGGGGAAGGGAGAGAGGAAGAAGTGAAAGGAAAAAGGAAGAAAGAGGGAGGGAAGAGAGTAAGGGAAGCGGAGGAAGACAGGAAGAATGGGAGGGAGAGAGAGGGAGGGAAAGGGAAAGAGAAGGCTATACCAAGAGCATCACCTGAGCAGCTGTCCACTTGTCTTCATCTCCCCCATCCCTCCACATAGTCAAAAGCAAGTTCCTCCCCTCCCATTCTCAATACTCTCCACCACCCTGGGTGGTTTTTTTCAATCCCATTCAACCCAATCCCTATCTCTCCCCACCCCAAGTGCCCTCTACACCCCCTACCCACCATAGCCTGGGGGCGGGGTCAAGTGGGTGGATGGGGATGAGGGGAGGGGGGTGAGACTGTGGGCTCTCAGTTGGGGGTTAAATGTAGGGAAGGGGATTAGTTGGGGAGTGGGGTGAGCTAAGGGAGAAGTAGGGTAGGGAGGACCCTGTCCTCACCACACCCACACCCACGGTGGAGACACGGTTCAGGAAAGGAGGGGAAGACTGGAGCCGGGGTTAGAAGACATTACCCCCAAACAGGTGGGAGGTCGAGGCAATTCCCGGCCCAGGAGAGTCTTTTTGGAGGGTGTGAGTGGCAGCCCCTCCGGACCCAGGCCTCCCCCCCAACCCCCACTGCAGGACTCCTCCCCTCCCCCTCCGACGGCTTCCCCCATCCTACCTGACTAGCTTTGTGGAACTGCTTTTTCAGTCCGGACACAGACATTGTGGACCGCGCGCGGGGCCAGAGGGCGCCCGACTCTCCGGAGGGGGGGGGGGGGCGCCGGAGGACAGGGGGGCCGGGGAGGGGGACGATGCGGTCCCAGGAGAGGAGCGGACGCCCAGGCCACTGGCCCCGCTGCTCTCAGCCCGACCCCCTGCCTCTCACAGTCACCGCCGCCACCACACACTCTCTCTCCCTCGCAGGCAAGCAAATGAAGCTCTGCGTTCTAAAGCGTCCCGGGCTCCCATTGGCCAAGCCGCGGCTGTATGCAAATGAGGCTTCCAAAGAACGCCCACGCTTCATTGTTACGTGAATACGGGAGAGAGGCGCCTGAGGGCCATAGGAGGGGCGCGGGCGCCTAAAAGAGGGCGGATGCGGGGGGTTGAGGAGGGTTTCCCCTCCAGCTGGTTGTTGCATCCCCTCCTACTGGTTTTTACAGGCCCTAAAGTCCGTGCATTCACGTGAAATGCGTATGCCACGCACCCTGCGTTTGGATGGCTGTATATGTACCGGGTTTTCCTAGTTGTTACTTCGTTCCGCCCCAACCTGGGGCCGCGGGCAGGTGGAGATCCGCGGGCAAAGAACAAGCCTTTGGCAGAATGGGCGAGGTAGGGTATGAGTAGGGAGCCCAGACCGAGAAGCCCAAGAGGGAGAAATCCTACCTTGGGGAAAAAATAGTGTAAGGATGCCCTAAATCATTGTTGGTAACGCAGAAATGCACCAGATTCCCGCTGGTGAGCTGGTAGTGAATTACTCATTTTTGGGAGATGCTCAGCCTCCTTCGGACCAATAGGAACAATGTAGCATGCTGCTAATTTACAAATACATTAAATATGTGTGTGTGCAATTTATTCCCAGGTTACTTTATTGCATCTTATACTGTAAATAGGTAGCACCTGTTTCCAACCAAGTCTAAATAATCCAGTTTGAGTGTTTCCTAAATTAATTTGTCCGGAAATACTTACGGGTTAGGGGAGAAGGAGGAAAGGATCGACATGGAGATGAAGGTATAATGGGTACATGGAATTTCCCTAGGGACAAAAAAGAATTGGACAAATTTGGACGCAAAATAAATTAGGTTAAGCCTATTTGTATGCCCACAAAAATTGTCTGCTGTAATAAATATTTTTATATCATTTCATTCTTCCACTTCATTCCTACGGCAAGGTGCCTCACTATGAAATAGAAATGAGCCTTGGCTTTTCCAAGACTGTAACAGCTGAACTTAAACTCTCACAGGCCAAACCAAGCTGGAAGGGATCCTAAGTCTGGATCCTAGGATGGGTGTTGGATAAGCATGTCTGTTAGAGGAAGCCTAGCTATTTTCTGAAAGTTTCATGAGCATCCAGGGCTGCAAAGATGATGGAATTTTCCTCCAAATCAGCTCTCCCAAATCCCAGATCCATGAAGCTTTCATGTTCATAATTTCATATTTAATATTTTTAAGGAAAGTATCACTAGCACAGATCTATTTTTTATAGAACTGATTCATATGGTAGGGAACATTTGGGGAGTGTTCTGTTTTTTAATGAAGGGAACTGGAGTAAGAGGCAGGAAGATATTATTTTTTTTAAAATACTGTACTTGGAGTCAAAATACCTGGTTTTAAATGAGTCTCTGCCATTTACTGGCTTTATGACCTTAGTCACTTAACCTATTTGGGCCTCAACAGTTAAATGAGGAGTTGGACTAAATTGTGTCTAAGCTCACTCCAACTCTAAAGTTCTATGACTCCACTGTTATCAGTATCTGGTGATAATTAATAGCTTTACAAGCTGTCTTTGTTAATTAGAAATATACCTTGAATCACTATGGAAGCATGATCTGAGGTCGGTATAACAAAGTGCTTTACAAAGCTTTGCATTGTTATATCAGGCATCCATATATGGCCTTTATGAAATCCCTCAAAGCAAGAGGTAATTTACAAATTACAGTTTCTCTTGCATCTCTCCCTAACATCCTGAAACATAAATGAAGACTATTCATAGTTCCCACCTTCAGAGATAGTTTTATAAACTTCTAGGGCACATATATCTACTCCATAGATTTTTTTTTTAAATCCCTCCTTTTCCCCCAAAATGAAGAGATAAAAGAATATTGAAAAACATCAAATGTTGAGGCATCAACAATCTAGTGTCCAAGCTCTCCAAAAGCACAGTAAGTTTCTCTGAAATCCCCATTTCAGAGGTGGGATACTGGCCATTCCCACCTAAATAATATGGAAGATTTGATTTACATCTACCTTCTCAAAAATTTTCAGTGGTTCCCCACTGTATAAAATTCAATATCCTTAGTCTTCTCTAGACTCTGGAATGTACAAGGCACTCCACAAGCTGGCTCCCTGTTATCTTCCCAGCTTCAATTCATATTAGTTCCCTTCACAAAACCCTATTTTCCAAATGAAATTGATGACTAGTGCTTTCACCAACCTGACATGCCATTTTCCATTGCTGTGCACCTTTTGTTTGTGGACTCAATTTGTAGGTAGGTAGATGGATATAGATAGATACATATGTATGTATGGATATGGATATATATACATATAATCATTTTTTTATGAGATGTTTCATCACAAAAAGATTGGCGCTATTGGTCTTTGAAATCAAGCAATCCAAAAGAATTAAGTGCCTTACTGTGTTACCAGGTGCCATACTTCCCCAGAGATGCTCTGTCAGGAGGCCCCACCAGCAGTGCCACAGGAGCTAGTAGAAGGCCACAACAGAGGGTTGATATGTAATCCTGACTATTTAAGAAATACATCACCTTTTTTCCAAAAAATATAAAGACATCAAAACCTAACTTAAAAAGCCATTAAGTAACAACCCCCATATTTGCATAGCCTTTTAAGATTTACCATGTTATCTTACTTGATCTTCAAAACTAGGAAGGGTGAATTTGAATGAATGGGCTAAAAATGGCCCATCTGAAGAATTTAGGCACCCTCAGTGTCTCTGATAAAGGCTTCATTTCTAAAATATATAGAGAACTGAGTCAAATTTATAAGAATGCAAGTCATTCCCCAACTGACAAATAGTCAAAGGATATGAACAGGCAGTTTTCAGATGAAGAAATTAAAGCTATGTATAATCATAAAAAAATGCCCTAAATTACTATTGATTAGAGAAATGCAAATTAAAACAATTCTGATGTACCACATCACACCTATAAGATTGGCTAACATGACAAAACAGGACAATGATAAATGTTGGAGATGATGTGGGAAAATTGGAACACTAATGCATTGTTGGTGGAGTTGTAAACTAATCCAGATATTATGGAGAGTAGTTTGGAAGTATACTCAAAGGGCTACAAAACTGTGCATACCCTTTGACCCAGCAATACCACTACTAGGTATGTATCCCAAAGAGGTCATAAAAAGGGGAAAGTACCCACAAGTACAAAAGTATTTATAGCAGCTCTTTTAATGGTGGCCAAGAATTGGAAATTGAGGGATTGGATGGAAATTGGGGAATGGATGAACAAATTGTGGTATATGAATGTAATGGAACACTGTTGTTCCATAAGAAATGGTAAGCAGGTGGATTTCAAAAAAATCTAGAAAAACTTGCATGAACTGATGCTGAATGAAGTAAGCAAAACCAGGAGAACATTGCACACAATAACTGCAAGGTTGTTCAATGACCAACTTTGTTAAATTTAGCTCTTCTCAGCATTGCAGTGATCTAAGACAATTCTGAAAGATTTGTGATGGAAAATGCTATCCACATCCAGAGAAAGAACTATGGAGTCGGAATGTAGATTAAAGCATATTATTTCCTCTTTTTGTTTTTTGTTTTTTTTTTCTTGTGGCTTTTCCCTTTTGCTCTGATTCTTCTTTCACAACATGACTAACATGGAAATGTTTAATATGATTGTACATGTATAGCCTATATCAGATTGCATCCCATTTTGGGGAGGCGTCAGGGGAGGGAGTGAGAAAAAAAGAATTTAGGCATCTTTCTAATTAGGCAAGATGGGATACTGTCTAATCACAGACTTTTAAAAAATATTTTGGGGGTTTTCCCCAATTACTTCTTAAAACAATTTTTAACATAATCACAGACTTTTAACCAAGGAAAAATACCTTAGAGATTATTGGGTCAACTCTCTCATTTTACAGATGAGGAAAGCGAGGTATAGAAAGATCAAGCAATTTACCTAAGGTATCATAAGAGTCAGCAAGTTAGGGAGCTAGAACCAGAACTCAGGTCTGTTGATTCTTAGCAAGTGTTCTTTAGGGAACTGCTCTGGGATTATGCTGGGAATTTTGGCCCCAGAGAGGGTTTAGGAAGAGTGGCTAAAGAAGCAAGCACTTGGAAACAGCACCCCACAACACATGCTCCTGCAGCCTTCATGGCTGTTGGAATTAAATTGTTCTCATCCATCCATTTCACCTGGGGAAGTCTTTACATGCTTTGGGTGGACAATCCCTTTAACTCACTGATGGGTTTGAGGCCTGCTTATTACCCTCAACCTGGTTTAGCCTGTCTATCCAGTTTACCAAGATGTGGCTGCTGCACAAGCTACAGCTTCTTAGAGCCACAGGTGAGAGGTGACCAGGGACACCGAGGTGCTAGTCCTCCTTGAACACCCCATACACAGCTTAGGGCATACCGGATTTGGGGAGGTAGATCCTCTTCCCTCCCTTCTCCTCCCCCCAACACAAACTCACCAGAGAACAGAACACGTTTACTAATTTTTTAATGATAAAGCCAATGATTGTTAGGCAAACAGGCAAATCAATAAACATTTATTAAGCACCTGCAATGGGCCAGACCCTGAGCTAAGTGATACGAATGAATACAGCCAAAAAATGAACTGATCTCTGTTCTCAAGAAGCTTACATTCTATTGGGGAAGACAACATGTGCACATGTAAGTGTTTACAAGTCAAGTCAATGAACATTTATTAAGCACCTACTATGTGCCAGTTGGGGCATCTAGGTAGCAAAATAGAGTGCTGGGCCTAGAGTCAGGAAGACTGAGTTCAAATGTGGCCTCAGACACTTACTAGCTGCGTGACCCTGGGCAAGCCACTTAGCCCTGTTTGCCTCAGTTTCATCT